GGAGATCGCCTGGGACAGGCACGTCGCCGAGGAGATCGGATACGCGGACCAGCACTGGAAGATCAACATCACGGATCCAAGGAAATGGGACTGACTTTCGTTTGTCTCCTATGTATATGATCGACTACGTACGTACCTCCATCGCCTGCTGGTACATACATACGTACACGTAGCCGAGAGCGAGATAGGGCTAGGCAGGCTCATCGAGTTCCATCGCCACATTTTCTTTCGTGGGTTACTTCAATTTCTCTTTGTTCATACTTACACACGTGAAGGGGCCAGGGGAGTATGCACAGCTTGGATTGGTTGGTGCCTTGGATCTCATTGGTGGAATAATGAATAATCTCAGTTCCAGCTTCGAGCTAGGTGTGGTTCGTGTCCAGTCAGATGTCTGCAACTGTACCTAGGATCAGATTTGGGTAGGGCCAAATCCAATTGGACTTGGCCATGTGCGTTCTTTGAGGTTCAACTTCCATCGTCCTTTTTTTCTAAATACTCAACTTTCACCTTAGGTCTCGGATCCCTTCTACGTTTAGGTCAGCCAACTTTTCCAACAACTTCTATAACCTTCTTCTACAACACATCCCAATAACTTCTGTGCTTAGGTCTGCCAACTAGAGCAAAGTAGTTCCCCTGCAGTAGGCCTGTTCAAGTTTGGTTTGAAACTGCTCAGACCGTCAAACCGTCCTAGACTGACCCGCAAAGCTGGTTTCAAACGGGTTGGATCAACCCGTCGAGAAAACCACTGAACTTGTCGAGAAAGCGTAGGTGGCTGGCACGATGGGCAGTTGGACGATAGCAGCAGCGCGAACCAGGCAGTGCGGCGGAGTGCAGCCAGGCGCCGTGAGCCGTGAGGCAGGACTAGGGGCGGGGTCGAATCACGCCTGGGCGGTGGCGGCACAACAGCGGCAAGGCTCCCACGGCAGCGGCAGAGAGATGCGCGTGTGGTGCTTTGGAGGCCGCGTCGGGCCAATGGAAAGCAGAAACGTGCGGGCTGGGCAAGCGGCGTCTGATGGTGGCAACGTGGCGTGTAGTCACAGAGGGGAGAGCACATTCGGAGAACAGAGAAGAAAACGATGGAAGCAAAGCCGCAATGGAGGTGGTAGCTAGAATTTGGGAAGAAGAAAAACGCATGGAGCCATCGACGAAGGGGTTTGCCCATGGCGGGGTGGATGTTCGAGTAGTAGTAGCGGCGGCGGTGGCGCTTGACGACAAATCCATGGTTTAAACCGCTCCAACCATCAAAACTAAATCGCCTAACCGATCGCTGTATGGGTTGGTTTCAGAGAACTTTCACCGTGGGTGCCACTAGTGCGTCTGGATCTGCCAACGTGCACAGACCTGGACTAATTAAATTATCTATAAAAAATTCGAGACAATTTCAAAAAACTTTTCGTAGTGTGAACCTGTAAGATTATTTGATCGTTGGAATGTTTTTTTTCATCATCTTGGATCTCAACTGGACTTCTCCACTTTCAACAAAAAAAGAAAACAATTGGACTTCCCGTTTGAATTGGATTGGACTTGTGCTTGTCTTTATCACTGGCAGCCCCAGGTCGTGGCCCAAAATGCACCGCTCGGCCAGCACGGTCTGGAGAATCCAGTTTTTTTTTTTCCCCTCCATGGGCCGACGCGGGCCTGGCTTTGCGGTGCACGGACAGATTTGTTGAGCGTGCGGCAACGAACCTCTGTCCCGTAGTCTGCAGCGCGTTGCCCGTTGGCCGGCGAAATACCGTACCTCGTCGGTTACGGAGGAGTACTTCACTTCACCGCGCGTCGCCGTTCGGTCAAAAGGGACGCCGGAACGCCAGGTGTGCACTGTCAGATGATGAACCCAGTAAGTTCCATCGGCGCCGGGTATACTCAATTCGACACCAAACAAACATGGTCTCAGCCGCCCCTGCCCTGAAACGGACTCCTTCAACCTTGCTATATTTGAGCACAACCCAAAACCAGCCATCGTCCGGCCACCGCCGCTTCCGCTCGTCGTGCAGGATGCCTCCTGGCTGGCCCCCCTTTCTTCGCGTCTTCTCCTTCGGAGCGGAGCCTCCCCTTCGCGGGTGCTCCATCGTCCTCCTCCCGATCCTAGCATGTCATTACGATGCCAAGCCGCGTCCCATCGTTCCCCTTCTTCCTCGCCTTCCTCGTCGTCACCGCCGCCACCTTATTCCCCTCCTCGTCCTCCCAACAGCCCCCCGCCGCGGCTGCCGTGCCACAGCCCAGAGGGTTCTACATAAGCTGCGGGTCGGACAGGGACGTGCAGGTAGGGAGCATCAAGTGGGCCAAGGATGAGGGCTTCACCGCCGTTGGCAACGCCTCCGCCATCAACAAGCCCCACCTCCTCCCCGTACTCGCCACGCTGCGCTACTTCCCGGACGCCACCGCGCGCAAGTACTGCTACCAGCTCCCCGTCGTCAAGGGCACGCGCTACCTCGTCCGCACCACCTACTACTACGGCGGCTTCGACGGCGGCAAGGAACCCCCCGTGTTCGACCAGATCGTAGACGGCACCCTGTGGAGCGCCGTCAACACCACGGACAACTACCGGCGCGGCATGTCCACCTACTTCGAGATGGTGGCGCAGGGGCAGGGCCGGACCATGAGCGTGTGCCTGGCGCGCCACCCCGACACGAAGTCCAGCCCCTTCATCTCCTCGCTGGAGGTCATCGACCTCGCCGACTACATGTACAACACCACGGACTTCGGCAGGTTCGCCATGAGCACCGTGGCGCGCAGCCGCTTCGGCAGCAAGGGCGAGATCGTCAGGTACGCCAGCCCGTTCGCCGCCGTGCGCGTGAGGCCGGCCGGCCGGGGAATCCTGACGTGACGTGGTTGGCATTCTAGCTATCCAGATGACCCGTACAACCGGTACTGGGCGCCGTTCGCGGACGCCAACCCCATGGTGGAGAGCCACTCCTCCATCTCGCCCGACGACTTCTGGAACCAGCCGCCGGCCAAGGCGCTCAAGGCCGGGGTCACCACCAGCCGGGGCAAGAAGCTCACCGTGCAGTGGCCCACGACGGAGCTCCCAGCGGCGACCTACTACGTGGCGCTCTACTTCCAGGACTCGCGCACCGCGAGCCCCTTCAGCTGGCGCGTCTTCGACGTGGCCGTCAACGGCAAGGACTTCTTCCGGGGGCTCAACGCCTCCGCGGCCGGCGTCATGGTCTACTCCAGCATGATGCAGCTGTCCGGGAAGACGGAGATCCTGCTCACGCCCAACGAGACGTCGCCCGTCGGCCCGCTCATCAACGCCGGAGAGATCTACCAGATTGTCCCGCTCGGCGGCAGGACCGCCACTAGAGATGGTATGCATGCATTTTTCTCGCATCAGCTTCTGTCAGTCGCGTTCGGCCTGTGAGATAAAAATGTCTGGGCGATGAGAAGCTCTAGGATTTTCCCTTGTGCAGTGGTTGCAATGGAAGATCTCGCAGCGAGCCTCAAGAACCTACCTCCGGACTGGGCTGGAGATCCTTGCCTGCCACAGCAACACTCTTGGACTGGGGTTGAATGCTCCCAGGGGTCACCCATGCGCGTCTTGTCACTGTAAGTATTCAGATTTCAATGACAGACGTATCCAATCGATTGTCAATGGTGTTCAAACTGTATTTTGTTTGTTTTCTGGTTAAATTCGGCCACTGCATTGGTATTCATCAGTTCTCAATAGCGCTCATCAATGTGTAAAGAAAAAGAAAATAAGGGCTAAATTTGACCAATGCATCGGTGTTCTACATCTTGTCCTGATGGAAGAACGCCATTACAGTCCAGTAAAACAAAAGGCTAGAAAAATGTTGATCATTGCTGTGTTAATATGACCGGTTTTCTGCAATACAGGGATCTAAAAAATCATGGTCTTTCAGGATCCCTTCCCGACAGCATTGCAAATTTGACAGGGGTGAAAACCATGTAAGATAGACACAAAACTGATCTCTCAATGGTATGAGCAGACTGGATGGACGATCCTTCTAATAATGCCTTGTAAATTGTAACTACAGCTATCTCAGTGGTAACAATCTCTCAGGCCCCATACCTGACTTGAGCAGCATGCACACCTTAACTGCCGTGTAAGCTCAAGCATACTTGATTTGTTTTGAACATTCATTCTGCAGATTTTACTAACCATGCTAAGCTTTTCATCATTTAAAAAGGCGCCTTGATAGCAATCAGTTCAGTGGAACGATCAAACCATCAATGGAAAAACTAGTCGATCTTAAGGAGCTGTTAGTACTCGATATCTCATTTCATAATGTATCTCAAATAATATCTCCATACATTCTTTGCCTAATGCATTTTCTAAAAATGGCAGATACCTGAACTACAACAATCTCACGGGCAAGATACCGGATGGTCTGAAAAACAAAGCTGGACTTGATTTGAGGTGTCAAGAATGTGAATCAATTTATTAGGTTCTTCGTTTTGTCATAAACTGTGACTACATCTTTTGCATGAATAACTTTCAGAACTGAGGGGAACAAATTTGAATGAGGCTGACAAGAAGGAACCTTGATGCCTCAACATGATGCTGCACCCATGCACACACAGTTCAATGATGAACTGTGTAGGGTGACATTGAAAAGTTGTAGGGTGACATTGATGTCTGATGTATGAGAGCTCAAGATTGATTTCATATCTAGCATACCTTTGCGCCGTCTCTGTCCTATTGTTAGAGTTTTATTGTACATGTTGGCATGTTGCATCAGGAAGCATCAATTTAGGGACAGTATTAGGTGAAAGAATCGTTCCTAAGTCACAAGCCATGCATTTTCTGAAACTTCCAGTAGGACAGCAACATGCAGTGGCCAGAAAATAGCTAATAATGCATTTTGCAAGTTATGACTTCTGCAAATTAGGAGTCTCACTAGTAGCACCGAATAACAACAGACATACAAATAAAATACATACTAGGGCAATTCTGATAGATATAAAGCCTAAAAATACCCAAAAGCCCACTTTCCACCTCCTGCTAAGTTAGTACTTAGTACGGCTGTCACGTGATGCAGTCACTCATCTAGCTCACTGCCATCATCAGAAGCTGCTCGGATGATATACACCTGGGAGACGAATTCATTAGTGAATGAGTACTGAACATTATAAAGGAAAAAAAAACATGCTTTGAGCTACACGTTATTCAGTATTGCGCTGAAAGCATACAGTACCTTGAAGGTCGTGGGCTTAATCAACTGAAAAACAGCTGCATCTCCATCCTGAATCCCATGGCATAGTGCAAAACCAGCCCAACCGCCACTTAGCCCCTTCTTGTAGGCAAGGTAGTTGGTGTCGAATTCTTCATCCTTCTCATCCAGCAAGGTGATAATGGCGTCTTGCTTCGGCATGTAAGTGTCACAGAAATGGCTCGGGAGACCCTTTCGATCATACATACAGAAAAATCAGCACATGGCATGAGCTAAGAAGTTGCTAGGGAGAGCAAACGGTACAGAGCTGAGTACTCACCAGCCAAAAACCTCGAACCACATGTGAATGCAACATTGCCTTCACAAAGGATGGGATTTCAGGGTCAAGTTGTGATTCTAGCTCCTCGGCCTTTCTTGTTGCCTCCAACCTAGCTTTCATGGAAATTGTTCCGCGTGTTGCCAAGTAGATGAGGTCAGCTGGTTTTCTAGGAGACCTATGGAAGATACGGAAGAAAAGGTTTGTTACTTAATAGGAGCAGAACATATGTTTATAGCTCCTATGGTCATACTAGGCTGCTAGCAAATATCCACATACCTTGTCATTCTATCTGCACTGTGTGGTGCTATCTGTTGACAAATACAACTTTTCAGTAAAAACAAATGGTTCAAATTGATCATGAGTTCATGACATGGATGCTGGGCAAAATGGCACGATGTAACATGTTCTTTATTGTGCCATGTTACATTACAGGATGATTATCACTTATCAGAAGAAACATTTGTAAAGAAATGCCTTTTAAAACGATTTTATATTTATATAAAGAAAACAAAACAATCTGTTGCGCCAATAAATCTTGAACGGTACAGTGAACAGATTGTGCTTAACTGCTTACACAGTTACACTACATGGGTTGGTAACTTGGTACACACCACAAATGTTTCAATTTAATACGAGCAGAGAAATGAAATGTTGCTCTGTTTCCGGTGGAAAGAAATGGGAAGCCTTGAGCCCGAAATAAGAACTACCATGTTGAGCAAATGAGCAGCCACACAAACACGTCTGGAAATAACTAAAATAGCGAAATACTGTGTGCATTCATTTGACCCCAAAAGGAAAACGGAACAATCAAAAGAAGACAGATACCTCTGCGTACTTGACTTCTGGGAGTTGCGCAAGCCGGCGGGACCTCCTGGGAGGCGAGGGAACCACGACCGCCTCCTCAATGATCCTGCGCCTCTTCGGCTTCTGCTCCGCCGCATAAAACAAAGGGTCAGTCAGACAAACGGCGGCGCATATAGCAGACGAAGACGAACGAAGGAGGCAGCAGAAGCGGGCGTGGCATCACACCAGGGGGGAAGGGGTCTTGGGGGCCTCCTTAATGACGGCGGAGAGGTGGCGCAGGTTGAGCGCCTCCATCTTGCGCTTGTTCTCCTGCACATTCCGCTCCCGCGCCGCCTCGTACGGCGACATCCCCTGCATCTCCGCGGCCGCCGCCACCATCTCCCCCACCCCTCCCACTCGACCTCTTCAATGAAGTGGGGGATCAGGTGTGTGCCGTACGCGGAGGGAGAGAGAGGTGGACTAGAGGGCGGCAGGCGTGTGGACTAGAGAGGTTGGGGAGGGTTTAAGGGGAGGAGACGGCGTGCGGTGTGGTGTGGTGTGGGTTTTGAAGGCAGAGCAGGGCAGAGAAGGGAGGAAATCGACCGTTGGAGGCAAGACGTGGGGTGAAACGGTAAATTCTGACGCACAAAGGCGTGGCCGCATGGGGCAAAACACGGAAAATTGTTCTGTGGCCGTGTTCCTCGGGAGAAAGGTGGGGGAAAAGGCCGCGAAAGGAGGAATTCTTTCCCCGGCCCATACGGAGACACGCTCGGCCGAGTCACTCTTAGGAGCCCGTTTGGGCAGCAGACTACGAAGAACGTTGGGAAAGATGAGTTTGGGCTGAACGTGGGGAAAAGACAAAGAACTGTGGACACATATGCGCATGATATTTTCCTAAAAAAAACATATGCGCATGATATACGTTAGGGAATTCTTCGGACACCGGCGTCCGTCCGTTCGCGTCGGATGGGACACGGTTTCCATTCCGCCTCGTCCGTCTCTCTATCTTTTCGCTCCGTCTCATCTTCCCCGTCTCCAGATATATCTCTCTCATGTCTGTTGGCAGCAGCATAGCCCGTGCTGCCACCGTTGCTTCTTTCATCCACCCAAACCAACTATGCCGTCTCCTTTCTCAGTTCACGTAGTGCCTCCTAGCCTCTTCCTCAACCCAACGCTATTAGGATACGTCGCCGTGTGTTGTCCCTGCTGATGGCAACTAGGTGCAGGTGCCGAGGTGCCTCAGGTCGTCCCCAGCCAAGTAAAGGGGCATCCACGAGCACGCCCAGTGCTGGTGGTGCTGACACGCCGCTTGCTTCTGGCCTCGTTCTGTCCTTCCTATGTTGCAAACGTTTGCTTCAATTGTTGCAGTCATTTTAGAGGTATGTTGCAAGTATTTTGTATAGATGTTGCAAATGTAGATCTAGATAGTGCATATGTTGCAATGGCTATACACTATGTTGCAAGCGTCTGTTTCAAATGTTTCATTTTTTTATATGTATGTTGCAAGTGTTTTTATTTGGATGTTACGTATGTTTCATATATATGTTTGCAAGTGTTTTTGTCAGGATGTTGTATGTGTTGTAATGGCTTTTTAAGTATTTTTAGATGTTTTCACAAGTGCTTCAGATGCACGTTCAAATGTTTCATCTCTATTCAGTGCATGTTCCAAAAGTTTTATCTGAATGATTCAAAAACAGATCGGATATTATACATATTGCAATATAACTCATATGCCATAGCCGTCTGCTGCTGCTGCTGCTAGGGCGCCGTGCATGCGTGTGGGAAGCGGAGAATAGAGCGTTGTGTGGCCGTGGATGCGGGAAGCGGCGCGAGCGGTCCCTCGCTTGGCGCGGGCGTGCAGTAGCCGTTGGTGTACGGATGTCCGGCGCTAATACTGCCCTATACGTTAGCGTGTTTGTGTTTACTCCTGATTCTAAAAGCAGCAGCCACACAAAGACCTTGGAAGATTTGGGGATCCATCTTGAGAGCTCCGATCTGAAGTTTCCTCAGTTCCAAGCATAGTTCGGTGCTTTAACCGCTTGATTCCTATGCAATCAAGATCTTGATGATTTGGGGATCAAAACCGGCACAAAGGAAGCTGTGGTGCAAAGGATTAAAGGCTGTTTGCTCTGCTCAGTTGCTAACTGCGCTAATCACCCTCTCCCTCTCCGTCTCCCACTATCTGAATTTGTGTTTATTATTTTTAAGTAGCTGGGCAGTCCACTGGGGGGAGTTCAAGCTCGTTGTGGGCGGTGGCAGGTAGAGTATGCCACGTAGCTCGTTGGCAGGGGTGATCTTGAGCTAGGTAGCATAGAGCTTATTTTGGGTATCAGCAAGTTCAATACCGTTGCTTTCTCCGGCATTTACCCAAACGATATTCTACAACTCAGAGAAATTCTTGTGCACATAATATTACAATCGGAAGCTTAGGTACCGTCACTGTTCGCCTAAATGGCCGTTTAGCCCGTTTACACACTGTTTAAACGCTACACGGTGGTACACCATTTCTGTTTAATCGGTTGTTTTGATGGTTTAAACGGTCATTTTCTCCGTTTAAACACCCGTTTTGTCCGAATAATGGGCTAAACGGTGGGTGACCGACTGTTTACCGTTTAGCGTTTAGGATAACACTGGGTACCGTTTAGTTCCACTTCATTTTGTAAATTTTTTCAAGATTTTCCGTCACATCGAATCTTTGGACGCATGCATAAAGCATTAAATATAAATAAAAAATAAAACTAATTACACAATTTAGACGAAATTTACGAGACGAATCTTTTAAACCTAATTAGACTATGATTTGACACTAATTACTAAATAACAACGAAAGTGCTATAATATCATTTCGTCAAAAAATTTGTAAACTAAACAACCCCTTATCACGAATGTAGAAAAAAAATCAAGAAGCATCCAAACAGAGCCTGCGGAGCCAAGAAGTCGAAAGAAAGAGTGGATCGGAGCGCCGCGTACGTGATAGATTGTACTTATCCGTTTGTCCTCACCGGTTGATTGGAAGACCAAACTAGCAGGCTGGGACTTGGCATTGGCAAGTCATCTCATCGATCAGGGTCTAGGCTTTGTAGGCTGAGGGTGGTCCTTGTCTGTACGTCTGTAACAATTTGTTGTCAAACCGGGGATGGCCGGACCGGGGATTAATCAAGCATTTTCTCTCCAAGGAATACAAGGCCTTACTTAGATCGTAAGTTTTTTCACTCTCTTTCCATTACATCAAATCTTTAGACATATAAATGGAGTATTAAATATAGATAAAAAAATAATTAATAACACAATTTGATTGTAAATTACGAGACGAATCTTTTAAGTCTAATTAAACCATAATTGAATAATAATTGTCAAATACAAACGAAAGTGCTACCATACCAAATACTGATTCCAAACATCAATCTAAACAAGGCCCAAGTAACCTAGCTGGATAAGCTAGGAGCGGATGTACCCAAGTGGATCAAGACAGTGGACTGTCAACTTACCGTGCACGAGTTTAATTCTCCTTTCTATGCTGAGAGAGAAAGGAAGTTGCAGCTCTACTATTCTCGATAAGAGCAATCCCAAGAGCTCTGTCACCTATGTCATGCACATGTCATATGCATATCAACTAGCTCAGTTAACATGTAATTTGTAGTATATGTATAACATGTCAAACTATAATTATGATATTTTTTTTATAGATGGTTGAACAAAATGATTGTGTGAGCTATTAACTTGTTAATTTAGTTCTTTTGTAAGTTGTTTTGTGTTATTTCTATGATCATGAATGATCGAATTATAAATCTATGATGTATTGTGGTTTGTAAGGTATTGTATATTGTCTTAATAAACTCTATGTAAGTGAGATTGACATATTTGCTTCATGTTTAGCTATGAATTTATTATTTTATATCATTGTGATTTTATTATTTTATCTCTCTTGAATATACCCGATGGGTACCCGCCGGGTACGGGCGCGGGTATACTCGCGGGCGGATAAATGCTTTACCCGCATTTTGCCTGACTCGCTGCCATCCATAATAATGTTGCTGCAAAACACACGTTAGTTATAATAATTATTTCGTCATTAATCGCAAAAAATGAATTAGGAGTCTAGATGCTTTCAGGCGACAACATATCTATGCTAGGATTGGAGTTTATGCCAATAGATAGAGTAAAGACACATCGAGAGAAGTGAAAGATCCTAATGGCTAGAGGGGGGTGAATAGCCTATAAAAATTTCTACAACAGCACTAAGCCAAGTGGTTAGATAAATATGAGGCGAAATAAGTGTTGCACTAGGCTACTAAAAATACAAGTCACATATCCACAATTCTAGTTGCTATGATCTCTAATTCACACAAAGCCTAAGTCAGTACTCTCTAAGTTAGTGAGCTCTCAAAGACTAACTAAAGAACCCCACTAACCAAACTAACAAGACACAAGCTAGCTCTCAAAATTAGTTACACTAAAGAGCTTAGCTACACTAGGAAAGTAAATACAAGAGTGACAGTGAAGTTTATACTACTGTGGCAAAAGATAATCAATCAATCACAAGATAATTCCAGAAACAATGATGACACAATGATTTATCCCCAGAGGTTCACTTTCTTGCCGGCAAGCTACGTTCTCGTTGTAACGATTCACCCACTTAGAGGTTCACGCTTAATAGGCATCATACGCCTAACCCACAATTGGGTGCCGCACAACCAATACAAGATGGGGATCCACAAACTATGAACAATCCATTAGAGTACCTTTTGGTCCTCCGCCGGGGAAAGGTCAAGAACCCCTCACAATCACCACCCTCCGCTCGACGATCTTCGCTGCACCAAGCCGTCTAGGTGGCGGCAACCACCAAGAGTAGCAAGCAAATCCTGCAGCGAAACACAATCACCAAATACCTCTAGATGCAATCACTCAAAGCAATACACTTGGATGCTCTCTAATCTCACCAACTGATGAATCAATCAAGTAGAATGAGTAAGAGATGATTGGCTCACTAAGATGTATTCTCAATAGAAATGGCCAAGATAGTGAGCCATGGCCGGTTACCACATTTATATAGGAGAGCCCTAACGAATAGAGCCATTGGCCCCCTCACTATGCTGATTTTGGGGCGGCCGGACGCACCGGTCACCGTGACCGGACGAACGCTCACCAGCATCCGGTCACTGATCTCCGTCCATGTGTCCCCCGCGTTCAACGAGCGCCATGCAATCCCAACAATCAAAATGATCGCGCCAACGGTTAAGTTCACGACCGGACTCACCAAAGGCTGACCGGACGCACACACGCAGCGTCCGATCGCGCACGCACTAGCGCCCCCGAGCCACTGACCAGACATGCCGCGCTGCCACCTGACGCAACGCCACCGCAGAGTCAGGTCGAGTCCAGTAAGGTTCCAGAATGGAGTTTTTGCGATCGGACACGTCAGGTTGGGCATGACCGGGCGTGCCCTGCGTCCGATCTCCTCTAGCCAACTCTGCGCCCTATGTCATCATACGTCAGCTATGACCGGACGCATGCCCTACGTGTCTGATCACCCCCAAGCACCAGCGTCCGATTGAGAGCCAAGTCGTGCCCTTCACCAAGCACCACTGACCGGACACACACGTCCAACGTCCGGTCCTGCATCCGATCGCAGAAAACAGCGCCTCCTCAACTCTAACTTCTTCACCCTTGCTCAAATGTGCTAACCAATAAGTGTATCACCTTGTGCACATGTGTTAAAACTTTTCACAAATATTTTCAAGGGTGTTAGCACTCACCAGAATCTAAATGTATATACAATGAGTTAGAACATCTAATGGCACTTTGATAACCGCATTTAACGATGAGTTTCACCCCTCTTAATAGTATGACTATCTATCCTAAATGTGATCACATCCACTGGGTGTCTTGATCACAAAAACCAAAAGCTCCTATCAAATATACTTTGCCTTGAGTTTTTTGTTTTTCTCTTTCTTCTTTTTCAGTGCGCGGGCCACGCCGGTCGCAAACGCGCGCGCCTATTTGCTAGCACCTGCGCGTGGGCCTCCACGATCATGATGACCATGTCCCGCCAAGGCGAGGACGAGCCGAGCCCACCTGTCGCGCCTCGTCTCTGTCTTTCTCTCTTTCTCCTCTCCGCCGCCGCCGAAGCCGCGCCATCAATTACCTTGCGAACGATCACCTCCATTTAATTTATCGTATCCACGGCTTCACCATCATGTCCTCTCGCTGCCCGACCCTACCCAGCCTTGAAGTGTGCACGGCCAAGCTCCAATTTGGAGTTTCTCCCGCCGCCATGCCGATAAGGCCACGTCCGGCGTGGATGTGAGCAGCCCTCCTACTAACTAATGGGTGATTCCTACTTAATAAAGGGAATATAGTTTACTCAATCCTGTGTAGCAGCACTGTCCTTACTCAATCTAATATAGCAAATTTGAAGGGAAAGGAAAAAGGAGATCTAATAAAGAGCGCGAGTAAAAATAGACTTCCGCGTGAGACAGTGGCGGAGCCATCGCTGGGGCCGCCCTTGGTGGCTGGCCAGGCTTGTTCGTAAAATTTAAAAGAAAATTTCCATCGTATAAAAAACATTGTAATTGGCTAGTTAAATATTTTTACACAACAAAGATTATAAGGTATTTTTACATAACAAAGATTATAAAGAGCTCTTAAAAGATTCTGGCTCCGCTAATGGCACTAGAGCGTCTCCGGTTTTCTCCTCGTTGTTTTCCTCTACAGTCCACTGTCCACCAACAAGCTAGACTTTCGCATGATGTCGTCGAAGCGGCAAGCTAAAAGCGCCCATTTGTTTTAGCCATTTTTACTATAGACAGGTTGCAGCATTAAAATCCAAAAAGCTAAAACAAACAGGATATGCATGGCTACCAATCCAACTTCCACCAACTTACATTAGATTTGTGGGTCATCAAGTGACCAAAATACCCATTGGAGTTTTGAATGAAGAAACTATACTTGCATGTGCAACCAAACTGTATACCTCATGCTCAGGAAGTCAGGAGTGAGAGGGACTACGAAAATCCCCATACGTTTATTGTGTTATAAAATATCCACCCTCACACGGTTAAAGTTACCAAACAACACCTAAATCTTCTTTTCTAACAAATCAGCTAAATCAGCTCCCACCGTCCGGAGCTGAAACGAGGCCCGTGTCGCTCGTTCTACGTCTTCAGTGTTCTCAAGAAGCGGGCAAAAAGAGATCGGTACTGATCAGTGGTGAAAAGAAAGAACAGGAAGTTTGTAGCGGCCGAGCTTGCTGCCGTAGTGCCGTGCCGGGATGGTCTCGCTCTCGCTCTCAGCACTCGCCGTGGTTGATCTGGAGTAGTGGCAGCCGTGGGCTCCCTATCGGTTGGGGGTTGATTGGGCCCCTACTACCATTAGTAATGTGACAGATCGGCTGAGGCGGATGCTATCATCTATCGTCGATCTCGTTGTCGTTACCCACGCAGCATGCGCCGAATTCGGTCATCCTTCACCCATAAATACATGGTGTTGCCTTGGAGGCTTGGAGCACGAGGACGACTGAGGAGAGCATGCAGCAGGGACCAGGCGAGCGCGTGCGGTGCCGTGCCGTGCAGCGCGACTTGGGTTGGGCCGGCCGGGTCAGTTATCAGATCAGCGCCAGCTACTCTCTCCGTCCGACACGACCTCTCGGTGGTCACCAGCCATGAGGGTGGCGGTGACGGGCGCGACGGGGTTCATGGGCGGCCGCCTGTGCGCGGCGCTGGCCGACGCCGGCCACGACGTGCGCGCCTTCGCGCTCCCGGGCGTCGACGTCTCCGCCCTCCCCCCAGCCGTCGAGGTGGCCTACGGCGACGTCACCAACGAGGAGTCGCTCGCCGCCGCCTTCAGCGGGTGCGACGCCGTGTTCCACGCCGCCGCGGCCGTCGAGGCGTGGCTCCCTGACCCCTCTGTCTTCTACACCGTAAGATAAAACGACACGATCGTTACTCACTGTACACCGGAACATGCATGCATGGTTTTAGTACTAACTAAACTAAGAGTCTTACACAGTCTATGGTGTGGAACTCCATTTTCTCACCATTTGACTGTTTCCCATTTACCTTATGTAACATTTTTGGTGCCTTCTCCTCCCGGCTTAACTCCTCCATGCTTGGTGGCGCCCCTCCATTACCAAAGCCTGAACCTAACCATTCTTCCTAGTTCCTACCATTGTGTACTCAATATTGAGTTGTTCGTACTCATACGAGTTGTCTACGCGTGTGTTCATAAAAGTAAATATGCGTACGCCTATATAAACATCTATCTACAGAACACTAACATCTCTTCCTTGTTTCAAAAAAAAAGATCACCCTAGCGAGCCCAAAGGTTGCATTTAAATATATCTTGTGTGACTAATGTGAAGCACATATGTTATCATTTACTTCCTCTATTCTAAATTATAAGATATTTTGGATTTTTTAATATATATAGTTTGCACTTAGATATACATTATGTTTAGATACATAGTAAAAAATAATATATCTAGAAAAAGTCAAGAACGTCTTATAGTTTGGAACGGAGGAAATATAATACCATACGAGAGAAAGAAAAGAGCTATTGTCTTTAACATGTGTCACATTATCATCTTAATTAGAGTTAATATAAAACAGTACATCGTACAAGTTAACGGAGGTTGTCATAACTAGTCCCTCTCGGTCTACGTGGTAATGTGTTTACCAGACTTAACTGTTCTCTTGATAGTTCAGGCACTATACGCATTACTGTTTATTTCCCCCCTTCCAGTGGCATAAGCTGTTTGGAATTTCATTCTCAACTATTATAGAGAAATGTTATCATTTGTGGTGGTGTGGCAAGTGATAACTAATAAAGACAGAGAAGCGTCTAGATTGAAATCACAAGGACATTCTTAACACATTTACTCTCTTGCATTTGAATATGTTAGCTATGGAGCACAACATATGCGTACAATAACCACCAACTCCTGTTAATTTTCTATACATGGTTAATTCTTTATTGCACTAGCATTTTTTATTAGACCAAATCCAATTAAAAATCAACAAAAATAGCTAGCTTGATATTATTGGTTTGAACACCACATAACAAATTATAGGTCTCATTGCAATGCATAGATATGTTTGCTAGTAAATTATAATATGCCATGCTAGAGAGAAAGGAAACTATTGTCTTTAATATGTGTCAGCATCATCATCATAGAGTCTGACATAAAAACAATACATATTACATGGTAAGGTCTGACCCCTCCCATTATTCTGGTGCATCTGCATTTTCTTTTTCTTTTTCTTTTCTTTTCTTTCTCTGTCCTCCAAATCACTTAGGCCCCATTTGGATCTTGGAATTGAATTCATTTTGATAATCATAATTTAGACACATATTAATTAAGCTAATATGATTGTATATAAATTATATTTGTATATTATTATTGGCTATATGATAGATACTTATGTGTTACATTTCTACTGTAGGGGAGTGAGTTGAAGAGCATGTTATAAATTATAAATTAGAAATATAGGATGATAATCTATAGAATCAATTTTTATCTTCCAACTTATGAATTTGAGATATGCTTATAGGTGAACTTTGGAAAGTGGTGTAATGTCAAATTCCTAGTCAAATAGCCTAATTTATTAAGTAGATTTCAATTCCTCTAAACTAAAGGATCCAAACAGCCCCTTAGCGTTAGATTATTTGAGATGCCTTCAATGCATATTATAACTAAGGTTAGAGCAACTCCAGCATAGCACCTTCTAAACCATGTCCATGGCCAAAGCCTGCCACATCAGGAGGATGAGCATGGCCGAGTAGAGCCCACGCCGAGGGGAGAAGAGCCCAGCCAGGTGGCTGAGGTCTGCCTAAGAGGAGCTTGATGGGCTTCTCTACATTTCAATTTGTTTTAGAATCAAACTCCGTACTATGTGCATGTTATAACTAAAGTTAGAACAACTCCAGTAGCACCTCATAAACCATGTCCATGACCAAAGTCTGCCATGCCAGGAGGATGAGGATGGCCAAGTAAAGCCCATGCCGAGGGCAGGAGCTTGCCAGGTGGTTGAGGTCTACCTAAGAGGAGCTTGACCGGCTTCTCTACATTTCAATTTGTTTTAGAACCAAACTCCATACTATGCGTATGTTGTTCTAACTTGTATGGGCACGAATGACTTACAGATTCAATAATGATCACACGATGTGTTTTAATTCGCTTTAAAATTGAACTCCGCATATGCCTAAACACTTATCTCTAACTCGTAGAGGCGCGGAAGAGAGTGGTGGATCATGGATCACCCCATCAGTCAATTATGAGTGATATTGAACTAAAGGACTTTTCTTCCTTTAATATTAGATCCCCTAATATTAAATAGAGATACTCCCTATGCCTCTAGATTCGTAAAATTGTCTTAAGTCAAACTTTTTAAACTTTGACTAAATTTATAGAAAAAACACGTCAAGATTTATGACATCAAATTAGTATGATTAGATATATTATAAAATATATATTTTCATAATGTGTTCATTTTATGCCAGAGATGTTACATTTTCTATAAAATTAGTCAACTTAAGATAATTTGACTTGCACGGATTCTATGAATTGATTTATTTGGGGACGGAGGGAGTATAAAATTATACTTTTTTGTGGTTGGTAGCCTCTCATTTATTGCCCATTAATACCTCATCTTGCTAAAATTTCTATTAGTAGTAGCATATAAGCAACCATCAAGAGTAATTGCGAGGCGACGGATACCAAATAGGTTGTTATAATTAATATATATATATATATATGTGTGTGTGTGTGTGTGTGTGTGTGTGTGTGTGTGTGTGTGTGTGTGTGTGTGTGTGTGTGTGTGTGTGTGTGTGTTGCAAAAATATGCATTTCCCCCTGAAAAACTCGGAGTTATTAGAAGGGGTGCACTTACTGCTGCAGTTATTATTAACAGGTAAATGTTGGGGGACTTGAGAATGTATTAAAGGCTGCCAAGAGAACGCCGGAATTGAAGAAGATAGTGTACACATCGTCATACTTCGCAATTGGCCCAACGGATGGTTGTGTCGCCAATGAGAATCAGGTATAAACTCGTATTCATGTTTTTTTGTTTTATATTGTTGCCATTCTAAAAAAAATGTGACCTGCCTAAGAGAAACTGTGTGGGTTTTCATTAAAAAGAAAATAGACACCCAAAAATAAGCTATGAGAAGATTTAAACCTGAGCTGAATAATAATTTTGACTCTACGGTTTTGTCCTCCCGAGTATGTAATATGTTTCATGAGTATGAAATGCTCATATAGGGGTTGTTTCGTACGTGGAATTAAGTGGTCTATCATCATCTCACTTTCTAGTTGTTCGTTTGGTTTGTAGATTGATCTATTATCACCTATTCACCTCATTCATCATAAACTAATACGAGGAATAAAGTCATTCCACTAAGTTTGAGGAATTTACCCATGCCATTTAGAATGAGTTGATTCCCCAAACCACACACTCAAATAGTTACTTGATTCACCTTTTTTTTTTTCGAACACGCAAAAGCTCTTATCTTTTAATAGAAGAGGAAGCTTCAAACGGGCAGAGAGTAGCTCATTAGGCCTAGCATCTTAGATTAATTTGTGTGTAAGTACTTGCAGTTTGCAAAGGAACAACCAAACAACAAAACATGCTGAACAAACTGCAAGGATGGAAACTCGCTCCTGCATGCCTCTCCTGCCTATACAAGAGGGCTGAAGACATGCTAACTATAGAAACTCCAGTCAGAAATAAAGTGAAGCAAGCAACCTATTTCTGTTTCTCGTAGAACAGAAGTTAATACGCTAGCGCACAGATGACTTTTAGTCATCAATTTCAAATTTGGCTCCAGATATTGAAACTGGATCACATTTGTTAGTCACAACTTCACATTTATGCAGAAGTGCTTTTACAAGTTACACGGTGGTGCAAAATTGTGACATTGTTGAATTGCTTTTAAATCTCAGATCCATCAAGGGGAATCATTTTGCACAGAGTATGAGAAATCAAAGTTTCTAGCAGATAGAATTGCACTGCAAGCAGCAGCAGAGGGGGTTCCAATCACCATAGTCTACCCAGGCATTATGTATGGCCCTGGAACGCTTACATCTGGAAATCTTGTTTGCCGCGTTGTAAGAGAACTTTCCCCTTTTATTGCAGTAAGTCAAAGATCTAGTTATGTGGATTACAGCCATGTTCAGAACTTGAACAAAACAAGAAATTCTTGCAGTTAGTCGAAAGGTTCAATGGGCGTCTACCTGGTTACATAGGGCATGGGTATGACCGGGGATCGTTCAGCCATGTCGATGATGTCGTCAAAGGGCACATAGCAGCCATGGAGAAGGGCAGAGTGGGCGAAAGATATCTGCTCACTGGAGAGAACGCGTCATTCGTGCAGATTTTCAACATGGCTGCGAATCTTACGAACACAAAGCCACCCAAATTCCACATACCTCTATGGTTACTTGCCATCTACGGGTGGATTTCAGTTTTTGTTGCTCGCATCACCGGAAAACCCCCACTTATCAGTTATCCTGTATGTCCGTTATTCTCCATTCTAAGTGTTTAAGTTTATTATCTGCAAATAATCACGCTTTGTGTTGATATATAGTTGGTCCATATCTGTACGTTGCAGGGAGTGGAGTGTCTCAGACATCAGTGGGCTTACTCATGTGACAAGGCCAAGAGGGAGCTGGGCTATAGTCCACGAAGCTTAACTGAAGGCCTAGCAGAGACGCTCTTGTGGCTGAAGAATGAAAATTTGATCAAGTTTTAGATATCTACCCGTTTTAATTTGATATTCCATTTTGATAATAATGTCATACGGAGTATTGTCATCCTAATTCCTAAAGAACTTGTATATAATAAGACACATGAATAAATAAGTTGCTTTTTTTTAGAAGAGAACAAATAAGTTGCTGACAAAAGTCATACGATCGGCCCAAGCTTTCGTTTTTTAAGATGGCCGTGGACCGTGGCCCAAAGTTTTCGTTAGTCGGCGTGGTTTGTGTGGGTGGGTTGAGGAGTTGACTGACACAACAGGCTCCTCCTCCGCTTTTGGCTCGGCAAAATAGTGAATAATCTCCCCCCAAATCCCTAAAAATCCTCCTCTCAGTCGCATCATTCTTCTCGCCTCGTGTCGCTGACTTCCCCAAGTTGCTGGGTTTGGCTTCGAGCAGGAGACAGGCTGTGTAGTGTAGTGCTATCAGGATCGGATCAGCGGCTGCTGCTGCGCTTCAGTTGCCGGCGGCGGCATGAGGGTGGTGGTGACGGGCGCGACCGGGTACCTGGGCGGCCGCCTGTCCGCGGCGCTGAGCGGCGCGGGCCACGCCGTCCGCGCGCTCGTCCGCCGCTCCAGCAACGTCTCTGGCCTTCCCCGCGACGTCGAGCTGGCCTACGGCGACGTCACCGACGCCGAGTCCCTCGCCGCGGCCTTCGACGGCTGCGACGTCGTGTTCCACGTCGCCGCGGCCGTCGAGCCGTGGTTGCCCGACCCCTCCGTTTTCCTCAAGGTAAGGCAGTTGTATCTGTTTGTTTTTATTTATTTACCCCCATGTGTGAGCGTAGCTCTAGAAAGAAGGAACAACAGTTTTGGCCCTTTATTTTTGTGCTCTGTCTCCACATGATAAACATTCAAGCGCTGTTCGATTGTGATATAGGTAATTTGGGCAGTTTAATAGTGATATGGTCACAATCACCAAGCCTCACAGTACGGTAACTCCTTTTGAAGAGGGAGATTCCCATAGCCTGAACCCTGAAGGAGACGCTTATTGATACATATAGCAATTTCTGGCACTATGGTGCTATTCTCAAGTTAGTTGATCGCTGTTTAGGCGCTGCGCTATTGCTTCCGCCCACCAACTTCTCATCTTGTTACCGTTTTTAAGAAATGGAAATAAGGCCAGAAAACAATTGAGCAGACAGTGCATGGAACTAGAATGCATACTAATTCGGATTGGTTTAAGAAATGTGTATTGTGCTGTGCTACAGGTTAATGTAGGTGGACTTGAGAATGTGTTGAAGGCTGCCAAGAGAACACCAACTGTGAAGAAGATAATCTACACATCATCTTTCTTTGCAATTGGTCCTACTGATGGTTATGTTGCAGATGAGGCACAGGTAAGACCATATTCCTGAATTCTATCAATGAATCAATGATTTTGCTGTTTTCAATCCTGAAATATTTGCCATGAAATTAAACTAATGGTGTTCCTCAATAATTGTTTTGGCTCTACGACCTTGTTACATAGCTATATGTTCTGTTCCTCGTGCGTGCATTGTCATATCAAGATGTTCCTAGTTTTTAACAGATTCTGGTGCTAAGAGGTGCAAGATACTGGTTCACTTGATTGTTTGATTGCCATTGAAATGCAAGTGGTATACTTTCAAAAGTGCTTAGATCAAACTGTCCCCTGTACAACAATCCTTCTTGATGCACAAACAACTTACTGACTTTCGAGTTTAGTGGTCGGCTGCAACCAGGCTCCTTTTATTGAATTGGCTTACTCGTACGATTTGAATCATACATGTATATGCAGACTTGGTATACACTGCTGCGAATTGTAACATAGTTGATTGGTTCTAACGCAGATGCATCCAGAGAAGGAATTTTGTACTGAATATGAGAAATCAAAGGTTCTTGCAGATAGAATCGCACTGCAGGCAGCAGCAGATAAGGTGCCGATCACCATTGTCTACCCAGGCGTTCTCTATGGCCCTGGAAAACTTACGACTGGAAATCTTGTCTCTCGCATTGTAAGAGAACTTTCTTGTAGATGCATATGTCAAATATCAAATATATTTATTCTAAAAATTTTTTCAATCTAAAGTCTGCGAGCATCTGCTTGCAATTTGGTTTGAATATAGTCATGGGCACAACCTGAACCTCAATTTTTTCTTGCAGTTAATAGAGAGGTTTAATGGGCGCTTACCTGGTTACATAGGAGATGGGTATGATAGAGAATCGTTCTGCCATGTTGATGATGTTGTTAGTGGGCACATAGCAGCTATGGAGATGGGCAGAGTGGGCCAACGGTATCTGCTCACTGGTGAAAATATGTCATTCGTGCAAATTTTTAATATGGTTGCTAATATCACAAACACAAAGGCTCCCATGTTCCACGTACCTCTCTGGTTGATTGAAGCATATGGGTGGATTTCAGTTTTTGTTTCTCACATCACTGGAAAACTCCCACTTATCAGTTACCCTGTGTGTCCACTATTCCTTCGTTTAAATATCTATAAGCTTGTTATTCACACATAAGGCAAGGCTGACATTTTGCCCTCACATGTATTGCAGACTGTGCGTGTTTTGAGACATCAATGGGCATACTCATATGACAAAGCAAAGACGGAGCTGGGCTATAGCCCAAGAAACTTGACTGAAGGTTTATCAGAGATGCTCCTGTGGCTTAAGGAAGAAAAACTAATAAAGTTTTAGCGTTCTTTACCACTCGCCGCGTCACACATTTTATGTACACTGAGACATTGCTGGGGATTTTGAAGTGTATATGCTTCGCATCATGTTGCATTATACTAGAGAAAAGCTAAGATGTAGACGTGTACTACTGATATTGGCAATAAAGGGAGAAATTATGTTTTCTTTACATCGATACAATCAATTCAATCCTCTGCAAGTTGTAATCTTATAAATAGTTGCTTGAATTGTGCAAACTGTTCTGCTGATCATTTGAGATACATATGCAGGAGACCTTTTGCCACGCTCCATACTCATCACGGTTCTTGAGTTTAAGCTAACAAAACATAGCAGAGCGTTTAATGCAACATGCTTTCAGTTCCGGAATCCGATTGATACATAATTCATGTACTGTTACAGGATGTGGTAATACATTTTCCTATAAGCAGGAGAAGATCCTTCAGTTGCACGTAGCAGAGAAAACTACAATACTTGAGTCAACTCATCCATGAAAAATGTCAAGCCAACTCTTGCAGCAATTTCTCCAGTGCATCACAAACAAGAGGAATGCGGAGGCAATCTTGCCCATCAGAGTGCTTCCTGATCTTAACCAGATCATGATCTTTAAACTCAGTCAGGTGTGAATTCAATGTCACTTGACTGCTGACCAGAAAGCGCTCACGGCATTTTGTATACAAACTGCTGACTGGCATACCTGAGAAACAAAGTAAGTTTAGTCAGTATGCAACATTCCAACTCTTCAGGAAAACATATACACAACAAACTCACCTTCCTCCTTCTCATTTGCCAACTGATATTCAGCAAGAACTCTGAAAACACTTTGTGCATTCGGTGTCAGACTCTGCAGAACAACGAGAGCAGTTTTTGTGGTTTGGGCGTGACCACCACTAGCTAGGATCAATGGGTAGAACACGCCTTCGACTTTGTAAGGCGCAAAAGTCGGGACATGGTACCAGCTCCACTTGAACTGTTTGTGCACCATCTTCTTGTCCCACACTACAGTAGTTTCAGTTTATTATATCTTTTACAGTAAATACACTAAAAAAAAAGGGCGTATCCAGTGCAGAGAGCTCCCACTCCGTGCGGGGTCTGGGGAAGGGTGTTAGTGGCAAGCCTTACCCTCGCCTGTGCAATGCAAGGAGACCGCGACTCGAACCCGGAACCTTCCGGTCACAGGCGGTAAGACTCTACCGCTTGCACCAGGCCCGCCCTTCTTACAGTAAATACACTAGGGAAGGATAAAGCTACATGTGCAAGGAACTTACATAAAGGGGCATTAACATGGTCTATTGATGCAACAACACGGACCTGTGGGCAGCAAGAAATTTGTGCTAGACACTGTTGTGATTCAGCATCACGCAAAGCAGGCCCGTCAACACTATGAATAAGAAGGCACACGCGATCATCCACATCATCTGATGTCTGTCTCATTAGGAATGAGATGATGTCCTCTGTTGATTGTGACGGAAACTGTTGTGACAACTGGGACCTTGTTCCTGGCTGTCTCTTGCGTTTAGCTTTTGTTTGATCCCAGAACATTTCAGCTATTGTTGCTATGACCTGAAAATGCAATAGATTATGCCAGAACTTAATGGTCCTTTTCAAAGGATGTAGAGAGCTATGCAATCTTCACGACAACAACATCAAACGGAACTCCACAAGCACTTTCTGACTCAAATGATTACGAATCCAAATCACATGCATATACTTGTGTCAGATTTGGGAATCTAACAAAAAGATTAACCCAGTAAAACTTCCTCACCAGTACACATAAATAAGCCCAGATTTTCAATAGCAATCCGAGCCAGGAAAAATAATAGGCAAAAGCTAACCATTCAAGAATCAAGAAAATGTAAAAAGTACAAATATTTAGGACCAGCACATCTTCTAGAGTGCACAGGGTTTCCTGTCCCAAACTATTTAGGCCCACATCCGAGTTTTCTGTTCTTCAAATTTGGAAACCTATCATCAGACAAAGGCTAAAGCAGATTCAAGCATCAAAACAGAAATTAAACTTGCATAATCAGCTTAGAATCACAAGTTCATGCATTCATTCTTCGTGTATACTTTGCCTTTTCCACATGGATTGGAACTCCAATGCATTTCATGACTCATGCTTAAGATTTCAAAGCATTTGAACAGCAGCAGGGCAGTACAAACAATCCTGCAAACTACTGCAGGGAATAATATTGGGCAGACAAGACCATACCTGTTTCAAATTGACGGATGGAAGGTAGCCATTGATTACAACGACAGTGAAATCAGTCAAGGTAGTGGAGGCAAAATCCTCGAGCAATTGCTTCTTAGATCCAAACCCATACATCAGGAGACCAAAACCGCATCTACATCAGAAAAATGCATCTATCACTCACTCACCCCTACCGACAACAATAACATTGGCCAAACCAATCCCAATGTTGCATTAGTACTACGGGTTTAGGAAGAGACCTTAGTTCGAACAGCCAGTTGCGGTACTGGTCCTTGTAGCTTCTAGTCAGAGCCTCCACCTCTTCCTTGTGCTTCGGAGGGATCTCTGCAAGGGATGCACGCAACACCTGCAGAGAATCAAGATATCTCAAATTAGCCAATCATACCCATGGATTCTGGTGGCTAAAGGTGAGGATGTGGTCCGCAGGTGTGGGATGGGACAGCACTATACCTGCTCGTCGACGAGGTTGAGGTCGGAGAGCTTGCCCGCGGCGGCACGGGCGCGCTTCTTCCCAGATAATGGCTCCTTCTCCTTGGCCAGGAAGTAGCTCCTAGAGAACCCAGCCTCCTCTTCCTCATCCTCAGAACCGGAACTAGCCGCTGCACGTCCGCCTCTTGGTGCCATCAGTGGTGGACCCTAGGCTTGAGTATTCAAATTTGAAAGGGTGTCAAAAAAAATTTTACAACCTAATAAACTCCTAAAGCCTAATATTTGAGACCTTTGCAAGAAAACCCTCAAATCTATAGTTGCACTCTTTTTTCTCTTCATGTTTGAGACCTAAAATTAAATCCGGAAATAGTAAATTAGACTAGGGGACTAATTTGGGGAGTATGTAATTTGCAGGCAAACTCAGGCTCTCCTCGTTCCAGTTTACAAGTAATTCACAAATTGCAATCCCTAATTTATTGAAAGGAAAATTGGGAAGCCAAGAGACTTAATTTGAACTTACATCGAGAGACAGAGAAGTTCACCCGTCGGACGCTGGACTGCTGGCCGCTCGCCGCTCGGACCGTCCTGTGGGCTGCGGCCTGCGCGGGCCGCGTCGCTGCTGTCTACTCGGCTGCTCCGGCACTGCGGTGACTCCGCGACTGGCGGCTGGCGCACTCCTGGTCCCGGGCTCCCGGCTGCCGCCTGCCGCCTGCCGCCTGCCGCCTGCCGCAGTGCTGCTGCGGGCAGCGAGCTGCGGCGCTACGCGCCTGCACCCTGACTCCCTCGCGGGGCGGCGGCAGAGGCTGCCCGCAGGCCGCAGCCGGAGTCCGCCGCGGCGCCGCCTTGCCGCCGAAGACCACCAAGTCGTCCACCGCGCTGGTGCTAGGGTTTGGGGGTTGGCCGGTTGCGGAATAGGGAAAAGTAGCAAGCGACGAGCCGAGCGCGAGCGCGCGGGAGACGGCGATGTCTCCTGCTGGGGTTGCGGTAAGGAAGAATTTGGGCTGCTGGGCCTTATTGGGCGGGCCTTCAGGTGGGGAGAAAAAGGGCTCTGAAAGTTTTTAAGATAAGCATCTTTCGTCGATGGAAAAAGTTCACATTAACTTGTTCAATTTTCGCGAAAGTCCACTTCTCCTCCCTAAACTTTAAAATATGACAAAATACCTCTCTCAACTTTTAAAACCGTTCATCTTACCTCCCTGGTCCGGTTATAAGCGGTTTTGAAAGCGGTTTTATCTTTATCTTTTTTATTTATTTCGGCTGAATCTTTGAAAAATCATAGTAAATCACAGAAAATCATAAAATGGAAAATCCAATTTTGTTGGACTTCACATGAGTAGATCTCCACAGTAAACATATAATATGATATACTTTAGTACAAAGTTTTTATTATAGCTTTAGATCTATATTTTCTGTAATTAAATAGAATAATTCATAGCTACAGTTTCTATGGTCCAATTGTGATGAATTTTTTTATGGTGGGCTAATTATTGTATGCTTAAACTGTAGTAAAAATTTCATACTCATTAAATCATGTATAACTTAGTTATAGATTTTATTTAGGTTCATGCTTGTTAAATATAGGTTTATGCTTCTTAGACCGGAATCTCGCAGCTTACATGCACATACTACTTATGTTTTTCTCTGAAACAAGAAACACTCTAAAAGTTTAGTCTACCATGCCATAATCTGATATGGTTTTGCTTTTAAACATTATTAGTTCGCGATGCAGGCAATGGAGAGATGTAGGAGGGGAGGCAGGGACAAATTGGGTGCTGGCATTGCCACTAGGGAATATTGGTTTATCATATAGTCGCTGCATATTTTTAGAGTTACTGTTGCTGCAGAATTGACGTAGTTACAATTTTGGTTGAGAGTTTTGGGCACAGTCGGGTTCTGAACAAGCTGTTCATTTTGGTTCCATCTCTTCCATTATTGTACCCAATAAGATTTGTTTTCCCAAATCATCTAAAACTCAAGGTAAAACATATTGTACATGGACCTTACAAAATATGCGATACTTCTTATTTCCATCCTCTCTGCCTTTTTTTTGGCTGAAAATACATCGACCCAAATTTATGGTCTGTTACACGATTTCTAATTCAAATTTTACTTGCACTTAGCAAAGTTTTGGAGCAATGTTTTGTTCCTTGATGACAGTGATCTTGGGAACGTTTTCATTTTTCATCGTATTTTTTTATTTTTGTACCTAATGAAGTGTTGTAAGGGTCTAGAATTGCAAGTGTATTCTGAGTGTCATGGAACCCAGCTACCAATGTAACCAATAGTGAAGTACTGCAATCGTACAAAGAAATGGTGCTCACAGGATAATACACAACTTCAAACTTAAAATATTGTAACAATATACACAACTTGAAACTTAAAATATGTAACAGTATTATGTTCTCGTTGCAACACGGGCATGATCTTAAAGCAGCAACACCTCCGGCCCGAAGCTAATCACAACAATTTAGGACCCAGGAAGTCATAATTGCGAGGCCTGGGTACAAGGGCCGACCCAAAGCTCAGTACAAACCAAGAGACCCTAACCAGTAAACAAATAAGGCCCATCGAAAACCAAAGAGAACCGACCAGGAAACAACTCCTCGAAGCCGAAGAGACCCAGGTAACAAATTTGCTATGCTTTGGTTGGGGTGCGCCAGGCCTTGCCAGCAGTGCAACGGCTGGGCGACGCGCGAGGGCCCCAGTGGCAAGCCACTGGTGGTGGACCCAGACCAACAAAAAATAAATTTAATATCGAAGTGGACACATGGCCCACATATCAGATATTAAACTGATAAGAACAGATACTACACTTGATCTTAGCCAAAAGGCCGAGAAAGGTATGAGTTGCTCAGGTCCCGTGCCCCCTGTTTTGTAGCTCCCTCCCTCCGCGCTCCGCTCTCGGTGGCCGAGGTGGTGCTAAACTGCTGCTAACGCTTTCCCTCTCCAGCAAACGCAGCGGCTGCGGGCGGGCAACCAGAGCGATGAGAGCAAAACTGGGCCGTGTTGTATTATTGGGCTTCGCATCGCGTCCGGCCCATTGCTTGTTTGACGCCGCGAAGAGCATCATCGATTGGCCGACCGTCTGTTCTGTTCAGCTCCTCGCCGAGTCTCCGTCTCACAGCTACTCACTCGAGCATTTGACATTTTTTATTTTCTCATCACTCACTCACCAAGTCACCATCAGGCATACATCGAATCATTGCTGGAGGCGACTAGTGGAAAAGATAAGGTCCACCTGATATCATGAAAATTATCTCTAAGGTAAGATTTATAGATTGACATTGTTGGGGGTTTTTTTTTCTCTCAGAAAAGAACAGCCCTCGATCATTCGGTTCCTCTACAAAGCAAACAATCCCAAATAGTGTGACCCCGCTTACTGACGCAAACGATCCCAGATTTAACCACATAGTGTATATGAAAAAACTATTAATATTTTTATGCATAAAAAGTATCACTCGATTAATCGTAGACTATATTTCATAATAAAACTATTTAAAAATATAAAATTTTATTTTTGTAACCTATTCAAACTTAGAATCGTGTGGCCCGACTTGATTAGGCCCTATTTGGATTCACTATCTGATAATAGTTAGCTGGCTAATAACTCATTTTCTGATTTGGTCGAGATAGTTGTTATCGAAAGGTTCGGCTATCAATTAGCTAATCTATTATCTATACCTATTTGAATCCAAAAAGGATAATTATTAGTAGACAAATACTATCTATAGAGATCCAAACAGGGCCTTAGTGGTTACATGAGATAGTTCCATATATAATGGATGTATGGATCTGCTTTGGTTAGGCTCTGTTCGGAACACGTGATTTTTTCCCGTTCTTGTGTTTTCCTGCAAAATTGAACTGATTCTTGTGAAATTTCTTACGATTCCTGTGAAATTCCCGCATTCCAAATTGTGGTCACATGAGATAGTTCAAATAAGATTCAACTTCAATTTCCCTAGGGTAAAATACCACTTCAAATGCAGTAGCCCAACTTACATGAAGAATGCTTTTCATTCAGAAAGCTGCATCATGCCGGTGATGACGAAATAAATTGGCTCTCAAGCTAAAAAAAAAGAAAAAAAATCTTTCACGTGAAGGGACAAGGGCGAGTAGCCAAGGAGGAATGTTGGACCAAACTATCAATATAATTTCTTTTACCCCTATATATGTTAAAGAATCAGATACAATCTGCAGAGGAACGAAACTCCATCTTTCCCTGTAAAATGAACCGTCTTGATATGAACAGATTCAATAAACACCTTCTCGCGGAAGCTTTTCTAATGCCAATACTTCTGCCAATAATGCTGAACGCCATGGAGATGAGTTATGTACCACAACATCTTGTGGAAGATTTTCCATCTACAGTTAATGGACTTCATCCTTAGAAACTTTGTTTTGCCTTCATTTCTCGTTCTCGTGAAGCAATCAGGAGATCAGAACTGTACCGGTGGTTGTGGTAGCATATGCTGATATTCATCTTCAATCAGCTTCCTGGTTGCTGCTGCACCTACGCTGTACAATAGCAGCACATGTAGGCATGCGAAATTGCCATCAAAACTCACCAACCAGTGTTAACCATCGATCATATGAAATCAAAGGTACTTCTTCCAGGTCACTAAATTCTTTTAGCGCTCCACATATGGTGACACAGGATTTGTGAGTGGTAAAGTAGTTGAAACCAATTCTGAAATATGTGGAACTCTCTAGAATACATGGAGTCTTTGTCCAGAAGGTTTTCCTAACTCTACTCTGTCAATCATCATCCTCACTCTTTGCATCCTCTACCATCCCGGCCTTTGCATAAATGTTTGACAGTGTCATAGAATTTCCAGCATTCTGTGGCTCCACCTGAACCGGATGCTCTAGTGCAATCCTTCCAGATTACACATTGTGATGCATCCTACTTACAGACACCAAAGCACCCCCAGACAACTGCATTTGGTCTCACTGACATCCGACAGATAAATTCCAAGACCTCCACGAACCTCCTATCACGTTCAAGCAAATCCACAATGCGGGCACACTGTTCAGCAGTTATGACGAGACCAACAACTGACAGAAAGCGCTGCAATAGTTGAAGCCCTTCATCAACCAAGCCACAATGAAAGCATGCCATGAGAATAGCCGTGAATGTCAGAGTCTAGCTTCATAACACAGTGCAACATCATGTCCACAACTCTGCAAGTTGAACTATCCAAATTGAGCAGATACCAGAACATGTAGCCACATAAAATTACCATACCATCAAAACATACAGTCACTTCAGAACAGATCACTAATCGCATGATTTGGTTTTCCCAGCTGCAATCCTTTCTTGCAAACCAACATTAACAATCAATCATATAAATCAAAAGTAGTCTTTCAGGTCACTAGATTCAGTTATTGTTCGACAATTAGGGTGACACGAGATTTGTGAGTAGTAAAGTAGTCGAAGCCTACCCTCTTTGATACATGCAACTCTGATGAGTCCATGGAGTCTTATGCTTTATTACAAAACTTCCACGCAGCTTTGTCCAGAAGGTTTTGCTAACTCTACACTATCAATCATCATCCTCACTCTCTTTGCATCTTCTACCATCCCAGCCTTTGCATATATGTTTGACATCGTCACAAAATTCCCAGCATTCTCAGGCTCCATCTGAACCAGCTGCTCGAATGCAATCCTTGCAAATTCCACGTTGTGATGCATTCTACTTGCGGACAGCAAAGCACCCCAGACAACTGCATTTGGTCTCACTGACATTTGTCCGATAAAATCCAAGGCCTCCATGAACCTCCCAGCACGTGCGAGCAAATCCACAATGCAGGCACACTGCTCCATGGTTGGGATGAGACCAACAACTGACACAAAGCGCTGGAATAGTTCAAGCCCTTCATCAACCAAGCCACAATGGCAGCATGCCATGAGAATGGACGTGAATGTCACAGAGTCTGGCTTCATACCACACTGCAACATCATGTCCACAAGCTCAAGGGCCCTTTCTCCATATCCATTCTTCGCAAACGCTCCGATCATCACATTCCATGACACAACATCCTTCCTTACAATCTCCAGGAACACCCTCTCCGCATCGGTGACACAGCCGGCACGCGAATACATGCTCATCAATGCGTTCCACAAAATGGCTTTCGAAGAACCACCATGACTACTCACTATAGTCCCATGGACCTGCCTGCCGGACTCCATGTCACAAGACCCCAGCACCACCACAGCTGTGCGGGCATTCCCTCGAACACCTCTCGAGCGCATCTCCCGGAAGCAGACCCACGCCTCACCGTCCATCCCGGCACTGGTGAACCCGCCGATCATGGAGTTCCAGGACACCACGTCCTCGCCGTCCATGTAGGCGAACACCCTCCTGGCCGCACCAACCTTCCCGTGTCTCGCATAGAGCGCGACCAGCGCCGGACCTGCCGAGGCGTAGAAGGCCAGCGCCGCCACGGTTTTTAAGCCGTAGGCGTGCGCCGCGCGCGCGGGGAGTAAGGCGGACGCGCGGCGGCAGCATGAGATGAGGCAGGAGAGGAGCTCGGCGTCGGGCGCGACCGCGGACGCGGAGGCGGCGAAGAGGGAGAGCGCCTCGTGGGGACGGCCGTGGCGGGAGAGCGCGGAGAGGACGGTGGTGTAGGAGGCGGTGGAAGGGTGGCTGAGGAGGTAGAAGGCGCGGAGCGCGGAGGGGAGGAGGTCGGCATGGGAGTAGGCCGAGATGAGGGTGTTCGAGGCCGGGAGGGAGGCGGGGAGCGCGCCGAGCTTGAGGGCCGCCGCGTGGAGGGCGGAGACTGCGCGCGCGGCGAGGAAGGAGGAGGTGCAGGAGGTGGCGGAGAGGAGGAGGCGCGGGAGAAAGGAAGGATCGAAGGGGATGCCGCGGCAGTCGCCGACGGCGGGCGGCGCGATCGGGCTCGCGGGGTGGTGTTCGTGCATAGGTGCGCGCCGGGGCCGCGCGGGGTTGGAGAACACGAGGATTTGGATTGGTTGGGTGTACTGTGTAGTAGTGCTATAGATCAGAATCAGAAGATCCATCAAACCGAACGGATCAAGTTTATTTCCACGTTAATCCAACGCCCGACACTAGCAATGAATGAGTGAAAAGGCTTGAAACCTGGAATATTTGATTTGCTCAAGGCATCCTTCGGTTACGGGGAAACAGTGCCATGGAAATGGTAGTCAAATTTATATAATGGTGAATAAGTGAAACGATTTCTGACCAGGAATCTCCCTAACCGAACGGGCCCTAAGTGCTTTATTCAATCCGATTTTGGCATTTTTCAACGTATGTTTAAACAAAAAAAGTATCAATTTGATGGCGTCGCGCGGGTCGTCCAATTTAGCTCAAAAAGTTCTGCATTGTCACGAGACTCATCGTATGTCGGGCGGTCGATGCCGTTTGGATCTTTAGGCAAGCGAGAGTATCGAGCTATATATACGACTCACATTTAGATACTGATGTGTGAGTTTATACGTGAAATGATTAACACTGGACAGGCTGTTGTGAGACCTCGAGTGGAACCTCGACTTGTCTCCTGCTCCGTCAAATTCCAGCCTTTGGAATTTGGATAGGATTAATCGCCGCCGAACTTTAGACAATCGGTGACAGGGATGCCTTGCTGGAGTTGCATACGCGACGAGGCCAGCTCGATCAAACGTGGTATAATTGAGCTGGCCAACTTATCCACAGTCCCGGGCCCTAGGCCACAAACGCAATTATGACTGTAGCAGAGCCGAGAGAAGCCTCAACACAGCAGCTCCTCTAGCTCCTCTCTTGGGTTTGCCGGAGCCGGAGCCCTTTTTTCAACCGGCACAGTGATCTTCAGTAGAGTATAGTGCGCAGCAGGATGTGGGGAGCCGGAGCCGGAGCCGGAGCTTGTAGGAGCCGCAGTAGGTTGTGGGTACGCGATGTTTGCTTGCTTGCGTACCAGGTCTGGCACAGCAAAATAGACGCATCAGTTGCCTGGGACAGTCGCGTATACTCCATCCGTGCAAATCATCGTATCGTACGCACGCTGACGCTGAGGGAGGTGTTCGGCAGCTTCGAGTTCGAGCCTTCGAGGTCGAGGCCAACAGGCCCTTTATTAGCCCATCAAGCGTCCAAGCCCAAAAAACCCGCTTCGCTCTTCCGTCCCGTTCCCGTGGACCGTCTCCTCCCTCCTCCCTCCTCCCTTTGCCGCACCGGAAAACCGCCTCTCTAGTCTCTCTCCCGGTCTCGCCTCTCTTCTCCGGCGAATATTCCCCGCGCCGCGTGCCCTCTCGCTCGCCTTCCTCTCCACGGCAACAGGACAACCCCGCCCGTCGCTCGCAGCGCCCGAATAACGCAGATAATCACACCCTACCGAAGAGGAGAAGCCACCCCGCGCCGGCAATGCTGCGACGCGTCCTCCTCCTCCGCCGTTTCCACCACCACCGCCACCGGCTCCGCCTGCTCTCCACCACCCCCACACCCACCCCACACGCCTCGCCAGCACCCTCCGCCCCCTCCACCTCGGCCTCCTCCCTCCCGATCGCCGCCACGCCCGCGCCGCCGCACCACCTCGCTCCCCACCGCGGGGGCGCGCGCCGCCTCGCCCCGCTCCTCGCCTTCTCCACGCTCTCCCTCGCCGCCGCGGGCGCGGTCTACCTCACCACCGACAACCTCGAGGAGACGCTGCAGCGGTCCAGGGACTCCGCAGGCCGCGTCGTGGAGCGGATGCAGCACACGTGGACGGCCGCGCGGGTGCTCTGGAAGTCGCTCCTGTCCGTGCTCTCGTCTGCCAACCATGAGGTGCGGTCCGGGTTCGAGCTGCGGGTCGCCGCGCTGCTCGCCGACATCGCGGCCGCCAGCGCCGCGCGCCGCGCGGCCATCGTCTCTGCGGGCGGCGGCGCCGTCCTCGACTGGCTGCTCGAGAGCGTCGTGCGGGGGGCCACGCAGGCCGAGGCTGCCAGGGCGCTCGCGCACCTGGTGGCGGACCCCTGGGTCGCGCCCGCCGTTCTCGGCCGCCCGCACGCCGTGCCATGCCTTCTCCAGTTCATCTTCTCGTACCAGCCCACGCGCGGCAAGAAGGTAATGGCTGATCTTACTTTTGGAGTTCTATTTTCTGATTGTTTTGCTTTGTCTGATTGACATAATGTAGGTTGGTCGTAGAAGCTCGGAATAGGTGATTATGTGCTGTAGTTGTATCCAATTTGTGATTGTTGCTGTAACCATTCCATGAAATCGATATGTTAAGCTGCAATACTTCTTCATACTTTTTATATACCCCGTTGCATCAAGTAATGTTTATGTTTTCTAGCCAGGCATATTGATTTGGCGTTGGCCAGTTTGTAGCAAGGACATAGGGTATTCGTAAGCTGTGTCGTAGGATTCAAATGGTGAGATGTTGTGTGAATATAACTCGTTGCCTACTGCCTAGCTTATAACAAGTGGAAATGAGTTTGAGCTCATTTTTTGCAATGCCATGTCTTCAATTGGTATTGAATCTCTGCCTGGTTGCTTGAGTTATTTCTACTGAATGTAGCCGAATGTGGTTCCAGTTCTGAACCTGCAAATTGTCTGTGCAAATTTTTCATTGTTGGCTTTGTCTTAGGGCCCTTAAACTTAACACCGGAGATGCTTTTTCATGTATGGAAATTACAAACTTATCAATTATGAAAGGCAAAGGCAAACACAATAGTTGACATGATGTGAGGCAAATTACAACAAGAGAACTAGTGTGATCTGTGGGCAGCATATTTACATGTCCTTTGCTTAAGACGATTAATCTACTAGGAAGTAGTCTAATGTCGATCTTATACTTCTTTCATGTGCTAAAATGATCTGGCATCAGTAGGGGAGTGTTGATATTTTTTTCCTGTATGTCAATTAGTTGCAAAATACAGAAAATAGCATAAACAGGTTTTTATTCTGTTTGGTTTCTACAAGGTAAAAACTGTATGAACATTTTTTAAGCTTAATTATTTTATTGAATATATATCAATCTTCTCAGGCACAATTTATTTTCTTAACGTTCTAGCTTTTCCACTTCCATGGACACTTATCTGCTTGTACCTAATATATTTTCAATTTCGAAACAGAAATCTTCATTTGATGCTTCAGATCATTCTAAAGGGAGGAGCATGCTTGTGGCTGCACTTATGGATATCATCACGTCTAACTGCGACAATGCAGACTACTCGTTGTTTAAGCCTTTGCTGCCTGCTGATGCTGATACAAGAGATATTGCAACAGCAATTGAAGTTATTGAGCAAGGGGGGATGCATTTTGATGACCATGAGGATAATGGCAGTAATGATGGTGACACTGGATTAAAGGGGATAGGTATTAAGGTGCTTGGTGGAACCACAATATTGGGATTCTCTAGAGGAAATAACTCATTGGAGTTGGATAACTCAGACGATGATATTTTGGATGTACCATGTGATAGTAGAAGATTTGTGGTGGAACAGACTGCTGCTGAGTCTCCACTGCTTGGGAAATCAAGCTCTTCTGCTGTCCCAGGGCTTTGGGATGATTTGCAGAGGGAGCATGTAGCTGTACCTTTTGCTACATGGGCTCTTGCAAACTGGGCTATAGCTTCAGATCTGAATCGCACTCGTATTCAAGAACTTGATAGTGACGGGCATGCAGTTGCAACTGCGCTGAAAGCAGCTGAAAGAACTGTAAAGTGGCATGGAACTCTGGTGGCTCGAGCTCTTTTAGAAGACCAGAATTTGGCCTTGGCTCCATCAGTTCCTGATTGGTGCTCTAGTCTTCTTTCTACAGCTTCTCAGGCTACTGCAAACAATGACATGCCATTGGGTCAACTGTCATTATCAACGTTCCTATTATCTATGATGCGGTGTAATGAGTCAAAATTTGTGATAAGGCAGAAGGGCCTTCATCCTCTTCGTAGTATTGCAAAAAAGATAGAAAATCAGAATGGCCAGAACAGTATGAAAGAATCAATAGCAAGTGCTCTGAGTTTGCTATATGCTGGTGAAGTTCCTTTATCACTTGAGGAATCTCAAAGATGGTCTGGCATTCTTCTTAGATGGCTTTTTGATAAATCTGTATCAGATAAAACACATCTTACAGCTGTGAAAATCCTTTCATGCATACTTGAAGATTATGGTCCAGCTTCTGTGCCAATTTCTCAGGGATGGTTAGCTCTTGTCCTTTCTGAGATTCTTGGAGACAACAAGGCCCAAAGTTCAAAAGGAACCACACAGCCTGAACCAGAGAAAGTGAAGGTACTCATTTCTTTTATATCAGTACAATATATATTTGGGATGAGTGTTCGGTACATTTTAAAGATCCTAAGCATATGTACATACAGTCACAGCATTAAAATGGATAGGTTCTAGCTCTGACAAAAGTACTGTTTCAATCTATAGATATTGCCTTAGACATCATCACAGTCACAGCATTAAAATGGATAGTTTGCAATACCTTTGATGATGTTTTTTCTGGTAGTTTGTTAGTACACATTATAAAAACGTAACAGTCATAGCTCTTTATATAATTATAATAGATTGTTAGAGTTATCTCATCGTGGACATAGGCATGTTCTTTAAAACATTCAGTCTTTGACAGGAGACCAGAATCCCTTTTGATTAGAATGTTGGTTTTGTAACAAAGTTATCATTTGATTGTACCATCATTTATTGTCAATACATGTAGGCATAGGCATGTGCCTGCTGTCATGTTTTTTGATCTAATATTACCATGCTACATTATAAACTTGATCTGCATTGTACAATTTATCGTGTTACCTGATAATCCTAATGACTTTATACTGGTATATATCTTTCTTTTTTGTTCACATTCTTGTTCTTCATCCTACCATCCTAATACAACTTGTGTTATTGACAGAATCCGGTTGATTACCATAATGCTTCAACTGCAACTCAGGTCTTGAATCAATTAGGTAGTGCTGTTGTTAAATTAGCAAGCGCCCAATCGAACTATGAACCCGGGTCTGTTGACAGAGATAACGGGCCACTTTCTGATTTTCTATCTCTTGAGCCATTTGCTACAGCTCTAAAGAATATGAACAAAAAGAATCCACCCAAGTTTGATGCTGCTGACTCAGCATCAGCAATGCTCAAGGGAATAAAAGCTCTAGCTGAGCTTTGTTCCGAGGATGGAGCATGCCAAAAGAGAATAGCTGATCTAGGAGCAATTCCCTTGTTGAGGCACATCCTCCTGGGTGATGATTATGAGAAACTTGCTGCAATTGAAGCATATGATGCATCTCGTATTCGAGAAGTGCAAGATAAGAATGTGTCTTCTAATGTTTCATCTACTGATGCTACCACTGATCCCTCAAGTGTACGGGTTCCTCCTGCAGCACATATCCGAAGGCATGCTGGACGGCTGCTTACCATTCTCTCTCTTCTACCCAATTCAAAGAAGGAAATTATTTCTGATGGTGTATGGTGCAAATGGCTCGAGGATTGTGCTAGTGGGCGAATTTCCTGCAATGATATAAAACTAAAAAGCTACTGCAGGTTAACATTATTGAACATATTCTGTTCCGAGAGTCCAAATACAAGAAAACCCTCTGATGAATATCCTGATTCAGAAAGTGAGTATAAAAGAAACTGTCCTCAGTTTGGAGATGCACTATTCTTGCTAAATCCGGAGTTACCTCTTGAAGTTCATGTGGACAACAGTGGTTTTGGGATTTTAAGAGTTTCAAGAGACAATTGTAAGGAAGATGGAAGTATTGAAGATCCTGGCTCTGAAACTGTGAACTCTGTAGATGATGCCGAAGCTGCATCCAAAAGTGCCCCTTTGATGGATGTTGTGTTTGTCCATGGCCTTCGTGGTGGCCCATTCAACTCATGGCGAATTGCTGATGACAAATCATCAACTACCAAAGCTGGTTTGGTGGAAAGCATTGACGAGGATGCTGGGAAAGAGGGCACATGCTGGCCAAGAGAATGGCTTGCGGCAGATTTTCCTCAAGCACGTTTTTTTACAGTCAAATACAAGGTTTGTCTTTGATGCCTCATCAATTCCCTTCACCTGCTATTCTTCTCACACTTAGATATCTGTATTGGTCGCTTTCCATATTTGAGTTGTTCTGGTACATTTGAATATTTCTGTTGATACCGACTTTGTTGGTTCTAAACTTTTCAATGTCCTTACCAATTTCGAATAACTTACGCAGACAAATTTGACCCAATGGACTGGAGCCAGCTTGCCTCTTCAGGTAACTTCTGAGATTTCTTTAGCTTTTTATGCTGTGTGCATGGTCGCCTCCTTCTCGACATTCTCTCCTGGGCCAACTAAAGAACCTTGGGTTTTTGTGTGCCCTTATATACCCTTTATATGTGGACCTGGACCAGCTTGTCAACATTACAAGTTACACTCCAAACTATTTTGAACTTTGTAGTGGCATATGTGGACCCTTTTTTTTGTTATTGCTGGAAATTTTCGTTGTGCAACTGCAGTGATTTCCCAACATAATTCTAGATTTCAAGATTTTCTGTCCGATGCTATATATGTTGGTAGCTCTTTTCATGTTACTGATTATTTGTTGGTTTTCTCACTCAAGATCCTATTTGTTTTATAGGAGGTGAGCTCTATGCTGCTGAGGAAGTTGGTGGCTGCTGGGATTGGTAGTCGGCCTGTTATTTTTGTGACACACAGGTAAGGATTGTTGTTCGGTCTATGATGCTACTCGGCCATGCAATTGTTATGGCGTGTTGCTATATTTGTTGTGCTAGCTCCTCACTTATATAACTGCTAGTTACTGAAATAACTTATGACTTGCTTTCTCCTCATTTTCATACTTGCAGCATGGGAGGACTGGTGGTTAAACAGCTTTTATATCAAGCAAAGCTGAATAACTATGACAAGTTCCTGAATAATACTATTGGGCTGGTATGTATTTTTGTGTGTTGAATTTTGTGATTATCTGTGTGCCTGTGAATACGGTCTAACTATTTCTGCATCACAGGTTTTCTATAGTTGTCCACATTTTGGCAGTAAACTTGCAGACATGCCATGGCGTATGGGTTTAGTGTTTCGTCCTGCTCCTTCGGTTGGTCTTCCATTCCTCATTTGATAAGCTTGCTTACAAATTGATAGTTTTCGTCTTCTCTGTATGTTCTGACATTTAATTTCGATAGATTGGGGAATTAAGAAGTGGATCTCCAAGACTAGTTGAACTGAACGATTTTGTGCGTCAACGCCACAACAAAGGATTTCTTGATGTTCTTAGTTTTAGTGAGGTAGTAACATTCATACTGCCAAGTTCCACCTCCATAATGCTAAGTTATATATGTAAATAATTGGTTCCATGACAGACCCAGGTCACACCGATTGTTGAAGGATATGGTGGTTGGGCACTTCGTATGGAGATAGTGCCAATTGAATCTGCATACCCAGGCTTTGGGGAGCTTGTCGTAAGTATTTTTCACAATTCATTGCACATGGAATTATTGTTGTTGTTTTGTAAATGATGGAATTCTTATTATCGCAAGGGCCTTAACATATCATCACATGTGATGCAGTCCAATATCCTGATTGTCAATGTTAACTTATGTTGATAGTCAAAACTAGTTTTGGATAGCACTGGAAGAGTCAAGGTTTCTTCGAATTTTTTTTAGATTACATAGACTACTAAGCCATATGGACGTTTCCCACAATTTTTCCACCATTTTTGTTCCTTATGCTTCCATAATTTCATTGGTTCTATTTTTTGCAAATTTCAAGCGATTACCGTTATGTTCTGTTTATTTCTCTGCAGGTTCTACAGTCCACTGATCATATAAATTCATGTAAGCCAGTTAACAAGAACGATCCTTCTTATGCGGAAACCTTGGCATTTTTGGAGAAGAACTTTAATTTGCGTCTGAAAAGAGCAGAACCCTAGGTCGGTCTTGTTTCAGAGTGCACCATGCAGTTGGATGTTAATGGTGCCGCGAAGTTTTCACCAATATGGAGGCTTCATTTCCCCTTTTCCTCCAGAGATTTTTCTCCCGTTACGGCAAATGGTGGTTGATCTGACGAAGTGATTTGGGCGTGCTGTGTTTTATGAAGCTCGCACCGAACTGTGTATAGTAATAAATTGCACATAGCAGTTGCGCCCGGTTCGTTTAGCTTATAAGCCGTACTTTTTCAGCCAACGAACAATGTTTTTCTATCACAATAAATTAGCCAACGGTACTTTTAGCCATGGCTTATCGCACCAACTGTAAATAGCTGTATTTACCTTTTACTAGTTGACATGAGAGTTGTCCCCTTCACCCCGTGTAAGATGAAGCTATATATGCCTCAATGCAATCATCTCAACAGTTTTCAGCAATAGCTTTTTACAAAGGGAATCTTATATTATACAAGTGATTTCATAAAATTAGAGTGTATAAAATCTGAGTCCGATTTCTTTTTGAGGGAGGATTTTTAGAGGGTTTTTTTTTTAATCTCAGGTTTTTTAGAGGGTGACGGTCAAAGTTGAAGAAAATGTTTGATTCATAGTTCGCATTCCAAAACTTTAGGGGATCCCAAACTTTAGTGGGCTATGCAAACAGTAGAAGACGGAAACAAACTTTCAGCCCATTTACGGCCCGACGATCGTAATCCCCTCCCGTCTCCAGCCACACCCTCCTTTCTCCCCCGCAGAACAGATTGAAGCGGCGCCACCTGCCGTCCTCGCCTAAAACCCTCGCCGCCCTCCTCCGGCTCCCCGCCTCTCGTCGACGCGTCGGTAAGCAATCAGTCCATCCCAAGGTGCCACCCCTAATTCTCCACCTCTTTCTTCCCCTTGTCGCCTCACTATTTCTTCTGTGGCTCTTGGGATTCGACCAAATCTGATCGTGCAGCCCCGATTTCCCCGCAGACTTGCGAAGCGATGGTGGACGCGTGGTGGCCTCTGCTGGGCGCGGCGATCCCGGCGCTGGTGGCGGGTCAGTTTTTCCGCATCAAGCGCCGCCGCGACGAGGAGCAGCGCCTCAAGGCGGCGCGCGGGCGGGAGAAGAGCTCCGATGAGGTCTTCGTCTGCGAGCGCGTGTGCACTTCCAAGCGTATGCTCAAGAAGGTAGGGGCCTTCTCCAAGGACCCCATACCGGATACCTGCGTCACCGTCTGCGGCGTCTCTGAACTCGACGCCTGCGCTGACGCCTGCGCGCGCACCGTCTGCGTCAACCAGCACCAGGTGCCCAACTGGAACGACGTCTGCCTCAAGAGGTGCCAGAGCGAGTGCCTCAAACTCTCCTCAACCCTCATGTAATGGCCATCTCGCTATCGTGCGGCACTCCTTAGGTACCACCAGTCAGGTTCTTATCTGCTTTTATCCATATCATGGTTGACGATCTTTCAGACATTGATAACCGTCGTTATCTCAAGGAATCGGAGCGAGTGAATGTTTCTGGTCATGGCTGTTATGTCTTTCGTTCCATTAGCTCTTGCACATTTCTACCGCAGAATTTGTTTCCCTTAACTGATTGTGCGTACTAGGTGCCATATCCTGATTTTTGAGTCACAACAGAGCCTGGGAGTCCTCCAGGATGAATGTTGGTTTCGACATTCATTTTTAGTAGGTTGCTTATGTCTTCTAATAATTAAATTATTTTTGTGAATTGAATATTATAAGTTTCTAGGGTGGTGTGATGGATGTTGCACAATGACATGTATCACCCTTCACAGTTTAAGCTAAGACGTGAACTCTGAAATACTTGTGGGCTTCATATTCAAAATCTTTAATAACTCGTATTCAAAATTTCAGATGTGTGGATTTTAAGTTTCTGAGAGTTAAAATTTCAGTACCATTATAGATTAATCCTGATTGTTGGAGTACCTACTTTCCAGTGCAAAATGCAAATGTCCAAGGTTGTGATCATGTTGGTTTAGATAATTTGTTGATTAGTTGATGTCATGCCTCATTTTATTTGACCATCCTGATTGTACCTCATGTTTGTTGTTGAAAAGCAGTGGCAATACTATCTTCAAATTGCATTTGTCTAGTAAGTCAGATGGCTGTTTGGGTTAACCTTTCTAACTCAGTACCATTATGGTTTCTGAATTTTTGGAGCTGTATTAATAGCATAATAGGCAAGTCTTCGTTCTTATTCTCATAACAAGCCCACTGGTTTTCGAGTGAAAAGAACAGTGGCAGTCCAGATGTGCTGTGAGGAACTTGGGATAGTGGGGTGGGGGGTTGGTCATAAATTATTACTAGGTTCAAGCTGACCACAGATGAGATCCAATACTGTTAAGACTTTACTAGTTTGCATTTTGCAATAAGGTATAGATTGTCTCTGGTTTGCAATAATGGTTAATCAACCATCTTGCTAATAGAACTGAGAATATAGAAGACCTGCTCAATAAAGAACGTGAATGAAGAAGAAAAAATGGGATGGACCCATATCCATGGTAATAAAGACTGAAAACATAATTCAGTGTATAGTGAAGTTTATGTATTTGGTGCTTGAAATTTTTGAATGGAGAGCATAGATCGACAAATGCATGCTATGCTTGTTAATGCAATCTTGTTCACCAGATTAGCAAAATTGTTTTCTCTTATATCCAGCGAAGGTATTTTTTGGTGCATAAGGCCTACACCCTCCGGTTATTAATATATGACTTGAGGACTTAGACAGAAAAATGTGATGAAATTTAAGTCAATATATATCTAGCTGTTCTAACGTCATACCGTATGACTGTATGAGCGTGGGCGTTAGGAGAAGCCTTTGACCAGCAATTACTCTGTTAATATAGAGTATTTTGACACGAAGTCAATGTTATTAGTTTTGTATTCAGAAAGACTTATGATTATAGCTTCACATTATATAGACTAAGAAAATACTGCCAAATCTTTCCGAAATGAGAGAAGGGAAGGCGCGAAATGCTAGTGGAGTAATTATTGGTTAAATCTTGTCCCAATGAAATGAAATGTGCCTAAAAGACAGTACGGGCCATCCGAAATCCATGTGATGAAGTTGGTGCATTAGAATCCTCAACTACATTTCTCCTCGGCTGATGTTATTGATCTACTTTAATATTTTCACTGGACTTTCAACTCAAATTTAGAAGCATGATCAGCAAGGCAGAGCGCGACAAGCTAGCGCGATGGGATGAGCTATGAAATGTTGAAGGGGAGACGTGGGTGGTGTAAACGGGGTAGTGGAGATTTGGAATGGAAATGTGCTTGACCAATCTGCTGGTTACGGATTAAGAAAATACCATTCCTTGGAACTGTCGCATGATTAACTTTGAATCATCGCTACCCTTATCCGTTTCCAGATATCCGATGGCCTCTGAAATTCAGTAAACACTTTTGTACCACCTCTGTAAATAATAGGGGCTATCTTCTATCAGCACCCATGTTTTGTTTCATTTCACAAATTATATAAACAAAAAAAGAGCACAAGTGGTACAATGAGAGCCACCACGTGTTTTAGTAGCCAATTGCAATTAATCAATCATTCAGGCCCGTACAATGAGAGCAAGTGGTGCGATGACACGTCACAAAAAATTAGGGACCCTAAAATTTTATCTAAGTGCATACATACTTAACTGGATTAATATTAATATATAATACAGATGAGTCGAGAGAATCAGATGTTTATTCTTCTGTATCAGAGGACTCCTTCTATCTTTTGCCCTGCGCAAGCGTTTCTCTGTTCTCTCTCCTAATCAATTATTTAATTTGTGGTACGAAATATTGGATCATAAGAAAGTATTTCCAAGTAAAATTCAAACTGAAGCGAAGAGACAACCAGGAGGGATAGGAGCCAAAACAATTTCTCTAATGAAGAAATTTGGCCTATGTCCTAAATATCCCAAAAAAATTTCTTTCGTTTCTCAGCCAACTTAAGTTCCTATAGTCATGATGAGGCTATTGAACTTAAGTACAAAGCTGGGAAAGCTAAAGAACAAAGCAAATGCAAAAACAACACTTAACAGACAAAGGTCGGAGGTTGGGGTTGGAAGTTTCGACACAGGGTCAGAAGTTCCGACTTGCGCAGGTAATCTCGGAGGTTTGAGGTCGGAGGCTCTGAGATATGGTCGGAAGTTCTCGGAGCCTAGAAAACACCCTCCAAAACAACACTACTACTGCAAGCTTAACCAAGGCGGGCAGAAATGATTAACCGAGGCGGGCATCGCAACCGCCTCGGCCTAAAGTACACAGTAAATAAAATATTTTCCGAGGCGGTTCAAACTCCCGCCTCGGTTAATAAAAGAACACACAAAAAAAAAACCCATTGACAGGCCCGCCGAGCCCATCCACGGGCCGCCACCGCCGCCGCTCGCTGCCGCTGGGACGCGTCCTCCACTGTCGAGCAGGATCCGACCTACCATCGGCAGATCCAGCCTCCCCGACGCCGGATGAGGAGGAGCGCCGCCGCCTCGCCCGCGCCCGCCCTCAATTTGCTGCCGGAAGGCAGGTCCGTCGGCAAGCTCGCTGGATCCGTGAGCCCCGAGGCCGGATCTGGACCTGGAGGTGATGGAGATGGTGGAGGTCGCCGGATCCACCTGCTCCTTGCGCTTGCACCACCACGACCCAGCACCAGCACACCACCGTAGATTGGCACCGCCGAACACCGCCCGCCACCGTGGAGAAAGAGGGAGCACGTGTGGGGAGAGAGGGACCGGAGAGGAGGCAGTGGAGAGAGGGAGGCGCGACGACTGGGGAGCGCGTGTGGGGGAGAGGGGAGAGGCGCCGTCGACTTGGGGAGGGAGGAGCACAGGGGAGACGGAGGGACCGAAGAGAAGGAGCGCTCGGGAGGGAGGGAGACGGAGGGAGCGAGGGAAGGAGCGTAGAGGCTCGAGCCTATAGGGGAGCAGAGGAAACCCTAGGGTTCATTTTTATACTTGGTGGTGCCTATCGAGCTTTGTCTAGGCTGCCTGGGCCTCAACCTTTTTTGAGGTGGGCCATTTAGGAGGTTCGTCTCCGAAAATCGACGTATTTTAGGAGTGGCCCGCCTCGGTTAATAGATTTTCGAAGGCGGTTATTTTTTTAACCGCCTCCGTAAATCAATTTTGCGAGGCGGTTGATTGTGCCCACCTCGGTTAATAAAAACGTCCACCTCGGTTAATCCCAGGCATTAACTGAGGCGGTTCAAAAGCCCATCCGCCTCTGAGCCCCTTTGCCAAACGCCTTGGTTAAATTTTTTTGTAGTAGTGCAAGATGAAAAATACCAAAACTTGATCAAACGATCTCCAAAAATTCCGAAACTTTGCGCACACCTTCCCTAGAGCATAGTGAAGATATCCCCAAAGGGTCTTGTCAAAAGATCAAAACTTGAATATGAATTTGAAAATCCCTCTGGCAAAATAGGGTTTTATCAGGAATTCTCCAAAAGGTGATTTCTAGGTGCTTGTGAGGAATCTATAAAAATATAGTGCCTACATAAGTTCCCAAGGCCTCATACAACCTAAATATCAATCAAGATCAACCCAAGACCTTCAGATCAAAGATTTCCAACAAAATCACCAAAAGAAGCTTGAAAGGAGAAGTTTTAGGGTTTGAAAACTTGGACAAAGATGATGGGCTTCAAGCCATGATTTGATCAAGTTCCAAGGGTCCCAAAACAATCCAAAATCGAGTCTACAAACCAGCTAACATAGCAGAAGGAAAAACTCTTAAAATTAGCTTAAAATCCACAAAAAGAGAAATTTGGGGCCACACTAGAGAGGAGATAAAGGGGATGAATTCAACTCGATTTCTTACTCCATAGTAACCATGAATTCATCTATACAAATGAGGACTAGCCTCCACCCTTCATCCTCCCTCTTAAAGTAGAAGATTAAAGCAAGAGGATCTCACTCTCTCTACTTTTAATTTCCCTAAGCAAGAAGCACTTGGCTAGCCTAAGCAAGAATGAAATGGTGGTGCTAAGGTTGCAAGGTTCAGGTCTTTGTGATCTGAAGTCGGATTGGTGTGTCATGCCTCTGCCAAATTGTAACGTCCCACCTCCTCGAGGCCAGGCCCGCTTACATCTGATAGCTTTCCTAAGACATAGATTGCCCTCACAAACCAACACCAGTCTTTTCTGCGCACTTTGTCCTCACTCATGCGCCCCCAGGAAGAACTTCCTGGTCGGTCACCCATCGCTCCAGGCCAAGCACACTTAACCTTGGAGTTCTTAAGAGACGGGCTTCTAGAAAAGAAGTTGCAACTTGTTGGTATGAGTATCCTATTAATCCTATTAAGCCCTGAGCCGGGGTGTTACATCCTCACCCCCTTATGAGACCGACGTCCTCGTCGGTCAACCCTAGGCCAGGAAC